TCAGTATACACGAATTTTTATTATTTATTCTTAAGCATGTACATTAAAAAAACTAAATTAACATTATTTGAAGTAAATATTGATTATTTATATAAAATTAAATAACTAATACTAAATTATTGTATCTTTTTCACAGGATATAGCTCCTGGTCTTTGTCTCCAAAACCACATATCCCTCTTGTTAGTATGTTAAGTTACAGGGTTAGAAACCTCAAATACTTAAATGGACATAAAAGGGTTCCTAGATGGCTTCAAAGCTTGGAGGGTTAAGGAGTCGTGGTTTATTTACAGCATGATTGTTTTACAGAAAGAACTTTTCTTTCTCTGTTTTGCAAAACGATCACATATATAGGAAATTGGATGCATTGCAATTGACAGTCATTTAAACTTTTAATGAATGTTATACTACTTCTAATTTTATTTATAAAGAATTATAAGAAATAAATATTCATTTTTAAATACATTATTTACTTAAATATTATATACTTATTTATTATTATTTTTGTGTAATCAAAATATATAGTTACTTTATGTCCATATAAATAGACATGTTCATTCATTTAATATATAATATCATTTAATAATAGAAATATTTTTGGAACAACATATAAATTAAGTATTTCTTTTTTATAAGTAAATCAAAATTAGTACAATTAGTTAATAAGAATATATAATAAATATAATTTTTAGATTAATTATTAGGTATAGTAAAATTTTACTGATATCATCTTTATATAAAATAAAATTTAAACATATTAAAATTTTCAATATATTTAAATTAAATTTATATTTTATTTAAATATTTTCAAAGGGTGAAATTTTTTTATCATAATGTAAGGTGGATTTACTACTACCAAGCTGCTTATCACTCTAACTAACTTCTGCCAGAAATTAATAACACATTTAACATAATAATTTAATTGAAATATTATTATTTGATATGAGCTTTTATAATAATTTAGTTCAAAATACGTCGTGTGTTTTTCAAATAATTAATGTTATACAAAATTTTACACAATATAACAATGAATTAAAATTAAACGTTTAAATATTATTTTAAAAAGAAATAATCTTCCATCGTTTAAAACGCTAAAACTGAAACGAGATGGTAAACATTATATAATTAAAGATAATTAAAATTTAAACATATTATCATAACCTTTTTATATTATTCTCTAAATAAAATGGAGAGTTAATAAAAAGAAGACTCTAAATTTCAATTAAAGTAATATTAAATAAGTTTTGCTCAAGGATTAAAATTAAATTAAAAAAAAAAGATATTTACTGTATTCCATGGGTTATTAAATATTATACATACAAATTACGAAACTTTTAGTTGATGTATAATTTTTTATATTTCAACTTTAACATATTTATTATATTCTATTTTAAAAAGCATGTTAGATTAAAAAATGATTTATAAAATATATAATAATATAATTATTTTTAACTCAAATTATGATTAATTTTAAGTATTTAAAAGTAGTAAGTATTTATTAAAAAATATTGTATTGTGATTTGTGTTTTTCATATATTAAATGATATTTTTGAAGTTTATTACTTTTATTTTCTCACTCTATTTACAAAATCATTTTAATCAAATCGTATAAATTTAAAATTGAAAGTAGTTAAAAAATTAATTTAAAAGAAGGTTATTGTAATACTTTAAACTTATCTTTGTTTAAAATAAACTTTTATTATCATGTTAAATATAAAAAGTTGTAACATTTTAAATTTATAAATTATAAATATTATACAGAAATATTTATTTTTTAATTTTAAAAAATAATGTTATATTAATGATCACCAAAATTTGTTAAATATCTTAAAGTCAACACTAAAGACTATGTTAATACGTGTATAATAAGTTATTAACTTGATTATTTATAACTATAAAAAAAAAAAAATTATTTTTAAAATTTTAAAATAATAAAGGTTTAAATCATAAATAAAAAATATTAACGAGTTAATCAGAAAATATAAATGTATACTCATTGATATAATTTTAAATATATTTTAACATGATTGTTTTATAAAAAAAAAAAACATTATCTTTAACTTTTTTAATCAATATCCTTAAGACACAAGTTACTAGTTAGGAAAATAAAAAAGAAAAAAGAAGCGTCTGTATTATTATTTAAATACTATTGATAATACTAATGGAAGAAATAAAATTGTGAATTTGAAGGAGGTGACATGGTATTTTAGAAATGCGGAGCGAAGAGCAGAGGTTGTAGCACGTGGCAGTAAAAGAGTATTACATGTGTTGGGTGATGGCACGTACGAAAAGCACACGTGTAGAGCGGTGAAACAATAGGAGCAGCTGGCTGGGGCAGAGTGGGGAGTAGAAACTAGAACTGGACGAGTCTTGGGGAAAAGTGTTCTGTTCTAATTTGTCCTTTGCGTCCAATAAATAATTAAATTGAAAATAGACAATTCCCGAAAAGTCCACAAAACCATGGAACAAGGCCACGCCATGCATCATCATATCGAAAAATCATGGGCTGGGGGCCCAAAGCGTCGATGGTATTGGGAGAGTGGGCCCACGCACACCAAAACGACAAAAGAATATTAGTATTTATAAAAGTAAAAGGAATTTATGACGTCACGTCAGGGCACTGGAGTGGAGTGGAGTGGGAAGCAAGGTTTGGGGAAAAAGCGAAACCGCGGGTTTTGCTCTTTTGGAGTGCCTAAACAATTCATCCCTTCCCACTCCCCTCCAAGGCGCGTTATCACACTCTATAACAGTTAATATTATAAATTCTTATTTTTAAATTTCAATTAATACAAAATTATCATATGATATAAATAATAAAAAATTTGTGTATATAGGTATTTATAATTTGCTATTGAATTTCAATTTAGTTTCAAAAAATACACTTTATATATAAAAAAAATTAATTAAAGGCAATTTTTAATATCAATTTGCGATTGATTTTCACCGATTATGGATGGATTCAACCAAATTCACCAGTTTCTTTTAGATTAAATGAGCAGAGACAATTGAATAGTTTTTTATTCAACCGGTGGAAGTAGTTGGTCTGATTTTATTTTCAAAACTATAAGCTAGTAGTGTTAATATATAGAAAAATGATAAAATATAGAGTAAATTAAATAAAAAACAGCAAACTAGGGAAGAAAATTGACCGTTGAGGGCTCCAGAATCCTTTTCCTTTGCGGGATAAAACGGAATAAAGCACGACATGTTACTCTGCGAATCTCTTCCACCACCCTAAATGCCCTTTTCTCGCTACAAAAATATAAATATCACAATTTATTTTCATGGAAACCAAATATATCGTGTAAAAACGAATATCTTGTTATTATGCTGCAGTTTTTTTTTTTTTTTTTTTTTTTGTAGAAATTTCAATTTTTCCCCATCTTTTACTATTTGTCTTATAAGAATTTAGTATTTTAGCATTTACTTAGGATTCATTCAACTTTAATTTGGTAAATATTTATTTAAAAAAATAGTTGTCAAAAAAATTAATCTGTGTTTGAAAGTAATACTTTAAAAGGATTAATTTTATTCAGATAATACTACAATTACTTTTAAAATAAGTCTAACTATATTTTTTGGGACAATGTAAGTATGTTTTTACAAGTTTTTTTAATTCTCTACCTAGAATTAATCTTATTAAATTAGAAAGTTAATTTTTTTAAAGATCTTTAAATTAATCATACTAATCACACAATGAACTGATATAATTAAAAGCACTTACCACTCTACAAAAATCTAATGTTGTTAATAAAGATATAATTTAGACATATCATGAACTCTTAAATTTAAAACTAGAACCAAGTTATTGTTATACTATACTCAAAGGTGATTAATTGTAATGAAAATAGTTATTTGTAATTCAAAGTTAGCATTAATTACAATATTAACAGATCAAATTTTAGAACAACGAAACTTTAAGATTAGATTTTTATGTTTAAAAATATTATTTTGGTCGTAAACAGATAGACACTTAAAATAATCATTTATAACATTTATTTTTAAAATTTGGTTTTGAAATCACTTGGAGCAACATAAATTGTCAACATTGCCAAACCTGATTCTTTATTTAAAACAATTTTTATTTATAAATACATCTTTAGAGAAGTTTTTATTGAAAAATGGAAAAGAAAATATAGTTTTTAAATCTTTTACGATATGCGGTGAATGTGTATATTAAGGGACATAAAATGCAATTTTTTTTTGAAAAAATAATTTACTATTATATACATATATTATTACATTTTTTTATTTTCAAACTTTAAAATCGTTATATTTTTCATAAAACTACAATTATTGTTATTTACAACGGAATTGAAGGCGGCAATAAATAAACTTTATGTGATTTTTTAATGATCAGAGAAATGTAAACCATTCCTTGATTTTGATGGCTTTGTTTTACACTCAACTAAATGCGAACATGGCTGTATAAATAACTTTTCTTACACCAAATTTATAGCAATAAAATTTGTATAAATAACTAACAAATAAAACATTAAATAAACAAATAGTAAGTAAGATTTTTGTAAAGTGCTTTTAGTTTTTAATGCATATTTTTCTGATTAACAAAGTAAGAGAAAAAATAGTGCGTAGAAAATGATAGAAAGTTAGGGTGGTGTTTTAATTTAAAAATGAAGATTTGTGAGAGGTGAGGCCCCATGAAATTGCTGGGTAAAAAGTACACTAGGACCAGGGCGGTGTGTCTGTTACGTTTACGCGCATTGCACGAGTTTGGGCCCGCACTTTTCTAACCCTCCCCACATCAATTTTGATTTTTGAGAGAGAAACTCGTGTGTTTTGGTCCAATATTGGACTTGGCACTCGACAAGATCTTTCTCACCTACGAAACAAACCCTTTCTATCACCTTTAAATCACAATAATGCCACCCTCTCAACCATTCAATCCCACCTATGTAATTTCCACCAACATTACTGGCAATTATCTTTACCCCCAATCATACAATTTCTATAAAAATAATGTTATTTTGAACGGTCTTGATGTAGGTTGTTTTAGCCAATGGATTCACTCTCACGGATTCCTTGTAAGCAAACCTGCCGCTGTTTATACTTATAAACATCTCCCTCTTGTTCCATACCAATTACCAAACCCTTTCTTTATCATTCATCACACTTGCATTGCACCTATCCCCTTTATAAAACCATCTCTCACCACTTTCTTCTACACTCCCCACTCCCCACTCCCCACTCCCTCACTAAACCCGTAACATTTCAGCACCAAACCCAAACCTTAGATGCACTCCTACGCCTCTACTAGCACAAAACCTTGTTACTTGGAACAGGACCACGGTTTGGCTTCCTTAACAGACATGGACGCTGGTCATCGTGCCAACAGTTTTGTGTCAAGGTCCATGACCATGGGTTATGCTACCTCTTACAACAGAACTAGTTTCAGGAACCTTTCTGTTTCCTCACCAAGATCCACTAGATTCTACGACGCGAGATTCGAAGATCACCACCCCCACTTCCTCCAATCTTGCTTCCTATGCCAAAAACCACTTGGTGACAATAGAGACATCTTCATGTATAGGTTAGCCACCCACAGCAACCCTTCTTATTATTAACACATATAACTCACAACTTATTATCAAAATCAAATTTTTAGTTGGTTGCCAAAATATCCTTTTGGCGATGTGCAATTTTTTAATAAAAAAATATTTTTTTTGGGGTAATTGGTTGTGAATTAGATGTTGTTTGAATTGTTGCAGAGGGGACACGCCTTTCTGTAGCGAAGAGTGCAGGCAAGAGCAAATAGAGATAGACGAAGCCAAAGAGAAGAATAGAAACCTTTCTTCATCGATGAAGGCTTTGAGGAGTAAGGAGCAAAGAAAATCTGTGTCGCCAAACAAGGCCCAAAATTACTCCTTTCGTACGGGGGCAGTTGCTGCGGCTTAGGTTGTTGACGGGTACATAGGATTCCTCGAAAGACAAGAGAGGAACGGAACTTATGCAGTGTTCCCGGAAAAGGAAAAAGAAAATAAAAATTGTGACATAAAAAGGAAAGTAACAAAGGGAAGTTGCGAGTTTTACTTTACTTTTATATTTCTTTCCAGGAACAAGGGTGAAGAGAGAAGGGATGGGTACAGGGGAATTTTGTGAATGTAGCTGTAAATGGTATACGTATTGAAAAGTGTGTTTGCTTCCAGTGGGAGATCCTCTCTACCAAATCACGAAAATTCATTTTTCGTGTTTTTGTTTTTCTCTTTCCTTTTGTAGATTACTCTCCCTCGCTGAGTTATGGTGGTTGTGCCAATATAGTTTCAGTTTTTCAAAAAGGAAACTGAATACAATGGAAATTTTCTTTCTCTTTTCCCAGCCTGTTGCTTTTTTCTTCTGCCTTTCTTTTGGAGTTCTTTGTCCTTTTGTGGGATTTAATAGTCGTGTTGATCGTTCTCTCCCCTCGGTTTATTTTTCTGATATAACCTGAAAGCTTATAAGCTTATCTCTGGTAAGTTCTACGTGTTGTAATTGATTTAAGTCTTTTAACATTTAATAACTAATAATCATATGATTTTAAGACGTAATTATGATATAGTTAATAGTAAACTATATTTTTCTCTCTTGAAAGATGATGTACTATTTATATATTTCTGTTCATTTTAGCTAACAAAATTAGGAAAGAAACTTATACCCTCTACTTTTTCCTTCTAGAAGATTTTTTTTGTTTTTCTCCAGAAACCCTCATGTTGAACAGTGGTATATTATACTAACATGATCCTTCTTGCAATATGGCATGCGGAGTAACAATAATCCTATGTTTAGCAACACAAATCCTAGCAAAAACATCCTTCAGGTTCTGTAATTGGTGAATGCACTTTCCAGCTATAAGTATGATATATGGGGAAGGTAATCCAATCCTCAACCTCTCCGGCGAGTGTTTAAAATGCAAACGAGTACATATTTTCAAAAAAGGTTCGATTACCTTTTTTTTTTTTCTTTAATTTAGTTTGTGCTAGATCTTCGGTTTATTTTTTATTTATTTTTAGTTAATTAAGTTTTTCTATTTTTATAATTGTAAATTTTGGTTCTTTCTTTAATTTGATTTTGTTTAAATTTTTATTTGTCAAAATATTTGAGAAATTTACATTAAATTTACTCTGTAAAATAATTTGAATGTTTAAAAGTTAAAAATTAGTTTAAATTAAGATATGAAGAATTATTTTACATGTGAAATCAGCGTTTGAAGTTTTTTTATATATTTTAATTGAAATTTAATGGTTATAGAAAAAATATGTTTTAAAAAAATTCATTGATCTAATTTATTAAAATTTAGTTAAAACATTGAGAAGATGGGTATTCTATATAAAAGAAAATCAATAAAAAAAGATTATATTTGCATAAAATTAAAAATATAGGGATTAAATTAGTTCAAAAGCTTTACTGAGGAATTAAAATTATACATCTGTTAAATTAAAAAGATTAAAATATAGTTAAATCTTTGAAAAAGACACACGTCAATGATGAATTGGTGATGTTTTTTAATCTTTAAAAGTATATATATATAATAACTGTAAAATTCGTCTATAAAAAAAGGTTATACACAATAATACATATAATATAATTTTAGTAATTCTTTATAAATATCATAAAAATCTGGTGCAAATGGGAAAACAGAAGCTTGCTTGCATTGTCTTATATGTACGCATATATGGCAAATGCTCTGTCTGAACTTGGATAAGTTATTTCATCGTCCCTTTCAAGTAAGCTTGTTGTTTCTGATGAACTTTACAATAGATTAAGAATGGCTAAACAATCTAGATATCCATTATTTAATAGATTGCTTTTCTGAACCAGTAATCAGTATTTCCACTGATAAGGAAAAAGAGGATGCTATAAATAAAAAATGTCGCGTCTGGTCCTTAAAATTATGTGAGAGGTATTTTAGTTTTGAAATATTAAAATTTCTCATTAGTCTTTGATTTAATAAATTGATGTTCACTTTAATCAACATTTAATGTAAACTAATAATAAAAGTAAAGCAAAAGAATTAAAATATATAATTTCAATAAACTCAGATGTCCAACTCATATAATTTGAGAGAGTAATTTAAGAATTTATTCACTACATTAATCGAACATCTAATGTGAGATACTGATACGAGTTCATAGACAAAGAAAAAAGATGATAAATAATAATTATTTAAAGATATTCTTATTACGTTGGCCATGGCAACAAATACTTTACCTTTTTTGTTTGTTTGTTTCTTTTTTTAGTTTTCTTTTTCTAGTCAAATAACAACATTTTCTGACTTTAGGTGTTCCTGCCATCTTTCTTGATAACTCGCCCTCATCAGCATTGACAGTACATGTGGTGGGCCGTGGCCCATCGGGCTTCGCCTTTCGTTTACAAATTCGACACGACAAAAGTACGTCATGTTAAAAAAAAAAAATTACTTCAAGTTTTTTTTTTTTTTATATATATAAAAGCATTACAATAGTATGTGAGGGTTGGTTTTTGTAATTTTTTCACACTCTCATTAATAATAATTTTCTGTTAATTTTTTAAAAAAGTATGTTTATGATAATAAAAAATCGTTCTCAAATAATGCAACAATTCTTCTGAATTTTAAATTTTAAGAGCTTGTAAAAATATGAAAACTTAATTTTGGAATTATGTTTAATAACATAATTTCAGAAACTTAACTTTTCCATGTATTAAATGAAATTATTATTATTATTTTTTTATGTGAGAGTGAGAGAAGCAAATCTTGACTATTGGATCTTACCATAAATATTGACTTCTCACTTGAATATAATGACTATCTAAGCCGAATGCTTACTCATAAAGAGCTTGGGAAATTCAAACACGGGGCTGGAAGTGTCAAGAATAGTGTTGGAGAAGTAACATGTCTTGTATTGTACGAGAAGAAACCTTAATATATAAATTAACTTGTGTTTTGAATTTGTAGAGAGCTTATAATAAAATGAGTTGATACATACAAGTTCAGACTAAGGATTTAAGTATAAATAATAGATTTGTCCCCTTAAACGCATGATAGGTGAATGTATTTGTATAGCTTTAAAAATTCAAAAACCAAAATATAGAAAATCTACTACGGTCTTCTATGGAAAAGAGTGACTCGCAGAAAAAGAACATGGCTTGTGAAATCTGGACTGGAGAATTTCCAAAAGCTGGCATTACACTACCAAAAAGTCCACGTTTTTTTTTGGTCAACACAAACAAAGTCTACCTTTGAAAAAGCCTGGAACGTATTTTTAGATTGGTGGGCCTAGGAACCGGGGAGTCCCACTTCCAACCCAAGAAAAATTATTTCGAGGGCCTTCTTATAATGCAAAGGAAAATTATTGTTTGCCGACCTCTTTTACAACGTGAGATAGGTTAGAAAAGGAAGATTAGAAAGAAAAGAAAATATATATATATTTATAATTAATTACGTAATAAAACAAAGATAAAAAATGAATGTAGACAAAATAATCATAAAAATACAAGAGCTATACCGCCTAAGCATATTCAAATAATCTCTTACTGGGACATAAATTTGATATTTAATTTTATTTTACTCAAGCAAATTTGAATTTTCTTAAGTAAATCTTCATTTTGTTATGCAAATCTTAGTAAAATTTATTTAAATAAATTTAAATTCACTTAGTTCAGGTGACTGTAGCTTAGGTGGAATAAGATTGGACTAAGTTCTTTTATGTGATAACTCCATTTTTAAGCTAGTGTATTAGAAGCATTAAAAGATTTTAATGAATGCTTGGATAGGACTTTTTCTTTGGCCAAATTAGTTAAAAATCCCATTCTACTATTTTTTTTTACTGTTGTAGTTACAAGTTATATTTAGACTATTGTACTCCGATTATTTCTTTATTTTGTTGGCTCTATCAGTTTAAAGTGGTCTTATCAGAGACTTTATTAAAAAAAAAAAAGAAGAGATTTTCAAACAAATACTCTAAGAATGAGTTGATGACAATTTCTCACATTTTAAGATTTTTATTTGAAGTATAAAGAAAGGAAAAGGTCATTAAAAAGGAAACATAAGCCATCATCCTTAATTTTAGTAAAATTCACTTATACAAAAATAAAACTGAACATCTAATTTGTAATGGGAGATGATCCATATCTTATTTGAGATGACTAATTAAATTTGTTGGATATATCTCGTTTTATAACAAATGGAAAATTATTATTTGCCAACCTCTTTTACAATGTGAAATAGGTTAGAAAAGGAAGGTTAGAAATAAAAGAAAAAAATATTATTATTAATTATGTAATAGAAAAAAAAGATAAAAAATGAATGTGGGTAAAGTAGATATAAAAATATAAAAGTGGTAATGCTTTAGCTTCTTCACTTTGCTACGCTAATTTTAGCAAAATAAACTTAAGTAAGTTTAAATTCATTTAAGTGTCATTCACTAAAATCGAAAATGATGACTTGTGCTACAACAAAATTTTAGTGTAACAAGGCTGAAAATTTTACGAAGAGGGGTAGCTATAAGTTTTGCAAGTCAATGATAGAAAGAAACTATTTGCTACTTTAGTGACAAAAGTCCAATTGACATAGTGTAGGTGGAAGAAGATTAAACTAAGCTCTTTTTATGTGATAACTTCATTTTTGGGTTGGTGGGTTAGAAGCATTAATAAGATCTTCTCTATCCTTATTAGAATGAATGTTTGAATAGTCCTTTCCATTTTGTCAAGCTAGTTAAAAATTCTATTTTACTATTTTTTATTTGACTTTTTTTTTTTACTATTGTAGTTACAAGTTATAACTAAACTAATATGCTCATATAATTGCTTCATTTTGCTGGCTCTGTCAATTCAAAGAGGTCTTATTAGAGAAAAAGAATTTTTTCAAATAATACTCTAAAAATGAGTTGATCACAATTTTTCATCTTCGAAGGTTCTTATTTGAAGTACAGAGAAAAAAGAAAGTCATTAAAAGGGAAGTACAAACCATCATTCTCAGTTTTAATGAATTTCACTAAAGTAAATTTAAACTCTCTCAATAAAAAATAAAACTAGATATCTATTTGTACTATTATGAAAGATTATCCAAATCTTGTTTGAGTGGACTAGTTAAATTTGTTGGATATATCTCTTTTTTAGAACAAATGTAAAAAATACTTGTTATTTAAATAAGTAAGAAATAAGATATTATTGAATAGATGTGCTAAATAAATTAAAGATATGCAATTATTAGTATTTACATAAATCTATAAAATATTTAAAATTAACAATAAAATAAATGAAAAGTTTTTAATTAAACATGAAATTATTTGAAAAAGTTAAATGTCAAATATA